ATTTTAAAAATAAAAAAAAAAAAAAAAAAAAAAAAAAAGGCTTCTTTGCTGGGGCTGGAGAGATGGCTCAGGGGTTAAGAGCACTGACTGTTCTTCCAGAGGTTCTGAGTTCAATTCCCAGCAACCACATGGTGGCTCACAACCATCTGTAATGTGATCTGGTGCCCTCTTCTGGCACTCACTGTATATCATGATAAATAAATGAATAAATCTTAAAAAAAAAATACAAAAAAAAAAAAACCCACCAAAACCGGCCTTACCTCTAAAGGTCATTTTATTCTTTTCCTTGAAAACACCTACCCCCACCCAACTTGGGAGACAGAGTCTTATGATGTATTCTTGGCCTAGAACTCATTGTGTAGGCAGACCAGGCTGGCCTTGAACTCAAAATTCACCTGCCTCTGAGCACTAAGATCAAAGGTGTGTGCCACCATGCCCAGCTGCTTACTTACAGCCTTACCTCACAGTCATTAAGCTCAGGGTCAGAACCAGCTACCCAGCATGCCCACCTCGATGGTCTACCAGCTACCCAGCATGCCCACCTTGCTGGTCTACCCCCTTGCAGAATCCAAACTGCTTTTGTCATTCTTCACACACTGCACTGTACCTCTGGATCCTTCTGGAACAACAATGAGAACTTCAAGGGTCCTTGTTGCCCTTGTTGGCCCTTCAGCCAGGCTTGCCTGACTAGAACTCACTGGGCTGGTTTAAGTCCCATCTGCTCAGCCATGCTGAGACATGGAACTATCAATGTCCCCTGTGTAGCTCGTGTGAGCCGACTTGGAAGCCATATGCCTGTCTAGCTTTCCGAGCTTCAGTGGACCCCTCCCTACAAACAGTACCTCTTCCCCCACCAAATTCTCTCCAAGAATGAAAGGTGGGTATGAACAATGCTGTTTGAGCATTCAGAGTTCTTGGGGGTACTACCATCAATGGGACCCCCAACTTTGCTTGCAGGAAAGGTGAATGTGAAAGTTTGAGCAAATGCTATGGCAATCTAGACCCCAATGACGTCTTGAAACACATTGCCATCTTTTCCTCGGTGTTCCTGGGTCCCTCTTGTTCACAGCTAAGTCACTCCCATTTGTTACCTCGGGGAATAGAAGACACGACAGAAAGTAGGCACTATTTTTAGTTTCTGAATTCCAAAAGCTCAGCCTTCAAGTAGGAATGGAAGAAAATTCTATGTAGAAACAAATTTAGAAAACCAGAGAAAAGGAGCCTGAGATTGGTGTTGGGGTGTGTGTGTGTGTGTGTGTGTGTGTGTGTGTGTGTGTGTGTGTATGTATGGGGGGAGTGAGGAGAGAGAGAGGAGGGATAGAGAGATAGGGGGGGAGACAGAGAGAAAGACAGAGAGAGACAGAGGAGAGAGGAGCGGAGGAGAGAGAGGAGAGAGAGGAGAGAGAGAGAGGGAGACAGAAAGACAGAGACAGAGGAGAGAGGAGGAGAGGAGAGAGAGATAGCAGAGGAGAGGAGAGAGGAGAGAGAGAGAGGGAAGAGGAGAGAGGAGAGAGGAGAGAGGAGAGAGAAGAGAGAGAGGAGAGAGGAGAGAGAGAGAGAGAGAGAGAGAGAGGAGGGAGTGAGGAGGGAGTGAGAGAGACAAAACACAGCTGGAACTCAGGAGCTGCCAGGAGACAGGAGCGAGCTCATTTCCCTCTGTGAGGCAACAAGACCCTCCAGAGACATGTAGCTCTGGAGCTGTGGGCTGCATCTGACCTAACTGATCTAAGATCCAAGAACTTCTCAGGCCTAACAGTACTGAGGAAAGCAAAAAAGAACCTGACACCTAAGTTGGTTAAGTGGTGTACTGCAATACCATCACTTGGGAGGTAGAAGCAGGAAGACCATGAGTTCAAGGCCAGGTTTGGATGCTTGAGGCTGTATCTCAAAAAATGAACAAACAAAAATCTAACACTGCTGGGTGTGGTGGAGCTTGTCTTTGATTCCAGCAAATCACAAGTAGGGGCAGAATGGGTCAATTCCAGGCTAGCCAGGGCCACATAGAGAAACTGTCTTTAAAAGAAAGGAGCCAGGCAGATCTCTGAGTTCAAGGTCAGCCTGGTCTGTAGATGGAATTCCAGGAGAGCCAGGACTACACAATCCATCTCCAAAACAAAGCATAACAAAGGGGGAAAAATTCGGTGGAGTGATGGCTCAACAGTTAACAGCACTGGTTGTTCTCAAACAGGACCCAGATTAGTTCCCAGTGCCTGCATGATGGATCACAGCTATCTACATTCCAGTTCCAGGGTAGCCAATGCCTTCTTCTGACCTCTAGGGACACCAGATATGTACTCGGTGTCTGTACATACATGTAGGCAGAACACTCATATACACATGGGGAAAAAAATTAAGGAGCATGAGGTGGTGCTTGTCTTGAATTCCCCAGACTCAGGAGGCAGAGGTAGGTGGAGTTCTAAGTCTGAGGTCAGCTTGGTCTACATATCAATCTCCATGACAGTCAGGGCTACAGAGTGAGACCTTGCCTCAAAAAAGAAAAAGAAAAAACCCTAACATTTGAGTCAGGAGTGACTGATGAAGGGGTCTTTTGGTCAGGGAGCAGCAATCTTTGAAGGTTGATATCTCAGTGGATGGGATGCTAATTAGATGGCCCCAAATGAAGGGAAGACCACAGGATCCAAATAAAGAAAATAAGGGGATTGATAATACAATTAAATTTCTTAAGTGGGCAAAACAGAAGGTAGAGTGAGTTAAAGAAAATAAATTCTTTTTTTTTGGAAACAAGGCCTGGAGTGTATCCAGCTTGGAAGACTTTGTGCTTAGCATAGGCCCTGGGTTTAATCTCCAGCAAGGCCTCCTCTCAATAGAAACTGTAATCAGACCTCCTTTCGCACAGCCTTAGGTATTTACCATCTCTCACTGCCCTACCCATCACCTACCCTCCTCATCGTAGGCACACACAGCTGCTATTCACCCAAGCTTTCCTACCCAAGATCTTTGCAATGGCAGTTTTCACTCGCTTTCTGTCTCTTTGTTTTAGTTCCTCAGACCATTTTCTTTCTTCTTAAACTTTTTTTTTTTTTTTTTTTTTTTTTTTTTTTTTTTTTTGAGATTGGGTTTCTCTGTGTAGCCTTCGATCTCCCGGAGCTCACTCTATGTAGATCAGGCTGACCTCAAACTCACGGAGATCTGCCTGCCTCTGAGTGCTGGGATTAAAGGCGTGCACCACCACCTCCCGGCTAAAATGTGTTGCTCTGGCTGGCTTCAAACTGTGATCCTCCTGCCTCAACCTCCTTCAGCAAATGCTAGTGGTGTACACCACCACAACTGGCCTGTTTTTGTTCCTTTTCTGTCCTAGCCCGGGCTGGTCCTCCTGCCTTAACCTCCTGAGAGTCAGGATTATACCTGTGAACCACTATACCTGGCTGGGACTAATTTTTTGTTAGCTGAACTCTCCAGCCTGAGGAGAGGGCTCAGGATACACCAGACTCTCAGCTTCAGGAAACAGCAGAAAGATAACAGCCTATTCCCTAAAGGCCTCTCAACAGAAAGGCCACTTTGCACCTAACTGCATACGAGTATCCCTATCAGATTTCTTCATGATACCTGGGAAACCTAAACTCCTACTGCTTGGACCACATTCTAGGTAAACCTGGTGTGCACTCCAGCTTGGAACCTGCACTCTGCTACTACACAGGAGCCACAAGAAGCCCAGCATACACCAGGCAGAGACTTAAGATGTATCCAAGGTTGGTTTTATGAGAAAAGAAACAAATGCCAAGAGAAGTAGAAAGTTAGGGCACAATAATCCTCGCTGGCAGAGTTGATTACTCATTGATAGACGTGGTCAATCCATAAATGGAGATTCCAGATACAAATGATCAAAAAGAGGGATTGTCACCTACCCCAAGGTCACAGACAGAAGGAATTCTGGGTCCCAGAGTGTGTCTGAAAAGTGGAACAGGTGTCTCTCAGATAGATACCAGGTCACTGGTAGGGAAGGATAGCAGGGAGTTGGCTCAGAACACTGGAGGACCCTGAGGTAGCGCTCGAAGTTCAATGAGGACACGGCTTCACAGCTTTTTGGAGGGAAACTCTCGTCGACCTTGACCCTTGCCACCAAAGTTGCGCACACGATGGATGATCTGCAGCTGCTGCTCGATGGTGGCAGTGATGTTCACGTCATCTGGGATATGGACATATCGGACATTACGGCCTGTCACAAAGAGGTCATCCAGCTCAACTTGATGTCCCCAGCGGTCGGTATAGGTGACATTGGCCAGTCGGATGTTCATGAAAGCATCAACATTGTCAATTCGTCCTCGAGCCGAACTCTCATCTCGAAGGTCCACCGTGGTTATCTGGCCCTGGAGGCCCTGCAACAGGATGACCAGACTGTTCTCAGAGATGGTTCGCTCCTTCACGGAGTGGCTCAGTGCCATTGTTCCACATTGGCTGGCTGCTCACTGTGGGCAGGAGCACATAGACAGATGTAACTCACCTTTGCCAGGCCCTCAAACTCCACACTAGTGGGCCAGAGGCTTCACTCTGCACTGACATCACCTGTGGAAATTTTTGCCTGGCCTCCACATCCCACACATGCTAGAGATCTAGATTCATTTGGCTGTGGAAGAGAGGCCCAGAGGTTTTTTTTTTTTTTTTTAAGACTAGGTTTCACTATATAGCCCTGACCAGCCTGGAATTTCATATGTAAACCAGTGTGGTCTGGAACTTACAAAGATCCACCTGCCTCTTCCTCACAAGTGCTAGGATTAAATGTGTATACTACCACATCCTGCAAGGTATCCTATTTTTAAATTATTTTGTGACAAGATCTCTCTATATAGTTCTGACTTTCTGGAACCCAACTCTGCAGACCAGGCTGGCCTGGAACTCAACGAGATGTGCCTGCCTCGGTCTCTCAAGTGCTGGGATTAAAGGCCAGCCCCACTATACCCGTTTTATACTATTTTTTAAAAGCTCCCCAGATAATTCTAATGTGCCCATGAGCTTGAGAACTACTGCTGTAAATTGTAGTTTATGTATGTCCTTCTGCCTGGGATCTGTTAATACGTAATCTAGCCAACCATGGTAGTGCACACTTGTTTTTTTTTTGTTTGTTTGTTTGTTTTTTTCTTTTTTCTTTTCTAGACAGGGTTTCTCTGTGTAGCTTTGGAGCCTATCCTGGCAACTCGCTCTGGAGACTAGGATGGCCTCGAACTCACAGAGATCCGCCTGCCTCTGTCTCGCGAGTGCTGGGATTAAAGGCGTGAGCCACCAACGCCCGGCGGTAGTGCACACTTGTAATACTATCAATCTAAAGGCTGAGGCAGTAGGAGCACCCCAAGTTCCAAGCCGGCCTGAACTACATTTTGAGCTCCAGGTCAACCTGGACAATGGAGTGTGACACTGTTTCAAGACAAAACAAGCCAAATCTAGCCAAGACGCTGGCCTTTAATCCCAGCACTCAGGAGGTAGAAGGCAGGCGGATCTCCGAGTTCCAGACCAGTCTGGTCTACAGAGTGACACCCGGCCTTAAAACAAACAAAATCCAAACAGTCTAGAGACTTTCAGGCAGGTTCAGACTTTAACTCCGGCTCTGCCACTTCCAGGAAGAGAGCCCTGGGGCTTGCCTTTAGCGGTCAAGCTTGTTAGTTCCACCCGGGAACGGGGTGCCGAGCGCGCCCCTCTCCTCACCGCGCGTAAGGGGGGTTGGGAAGAAGAGTCCGCAGCCAGTGTTCCAAGGGAAGAGGCTGCCCGGGTCTCAGCGCGCCCTGGTCCCCACAGTAGACCGCTCTACCCACCGCGTGATGCCTTCCGCCTTCCGCGCGCGACGCCACCAAAGCCCGCCCGCGTCTAGCTGCGCCACCCACCTCGTCTCCTAGAAGCCATGGCAACCGGGGAGCCCCAGCACGTCAGAGCACGCGCCTCGCAGGCCACGGACTACAAGTACCAGGAGGCCGCGCGCGGCACGCACCACCCCTTTCTTCCGTCTCTGTCTGGTTTCCCACCTTTGTAGGCTGGGGGCTTGGAGCTGTGGCATTTAATGGCCTGCTGAGCTGATGACGCTGCCTGAGAGAGAGCATCCGTAAGAAGATAATCCGGGGAAAAAAAAAAAAAAAAAAGACAAATGTTCTTCACCTGATTAAGAATGCGGGAGTGCGGCCGGGCATGGTGGCGCACTCATTGATTCCAACTACTACGGAGGCAGAGGCAGGTGGATTTCTGTGGGTTCGAGGCCAGCCTGGTTTACATAGAGTTCCAGAACCGCAAGGGCTACAAAGATAGACCTTATCTGAAAAGGGAAAAAACGGGCCTATGGAGAGGTGGTTTAGCTGCTAAACTTTGGCAATTAAGAGTTTATACTATTAGCCGGGTGTTGGTGGTGCACGCCTTTAATCCCAGCATTCGGGAGGCAGAGGCTGGTGGACCTCTGTGAGTTGGAGGCCAGCAAGTTCCAGTTCCAGGACAGCCTCCAAAGCCACAGAGAAACCCTGTCTTGAAAAACAAAAAAACAAAAAAACAAAACAAAACAAAAAAGAGCTTATACTATCGCAGGTGGCCACAATTTGGCCCATCTCACAACTGCCTGTAACTAGCAATTACAAATAAAATCTAGTAAGAATTATTTTAATTTTTACATATTTTGTTTTTTGTTGTTGTTTTTGCTTTTTGGTTTCTTTTGTTTTTGAGACAGTTTCTTTGTATAGCCCTGGAACTCACTCAGTAGACTAATCTGGCCTAGAACTCACTGAGATCAGCTTGCTTCTACCTTCTGAGTGCTGGTATTAAAAGCATGAGCCACCACTGCCTGTCAGATTTTTGCATGGAAAATAGCTGTGGTGATATATTGTTTATGATCTAATAAAGCTTGCTTGGAGATCAGAATGCAAAGCTAGCTAGCCACAGCCAGGCAGTGGTGGCACATACCTTTAATGCCAGTACTTGAGAGGCAGAGGCAGGTGGAATCTCTTGGAGTTCAAGGCCACCAGGGCTACAGGACAGTAAATCAGTCTAAAAGAGAAACAGAGTTCATGCCTTTAATCCCAGCACTAGAGAAGTGTATAAGACAAGAGCAGGGTCTCAGGAGCTGGCATTCAGTATTCGGCATTCAATCTTGGGTATTAGTTCAGCCACATTGAGGACAGGATTGCCCCAGCTTTGGTAGAGGTAAGAGCTCTCTGGTGCCTTGGCTACTTTACTTTTCTGATCCTCAGCTTGAACCCCAATATCTGTCTTTGGGTTTTTATTATTTGTATTACAAATAACTTTTTTTTTTTTTTTTTTTTTTTTTTTTTTTGGAAAGGGGTTTTTTTTGGGTTTTTGGGGGGGGCTTGGGAAAAAC